AATATAATTATTGCAGGTTTGTATTTTTGAAGAAGTTTTTATTGTAGTTACACTTGGTGTTAAAACATCTGGATTACAATCGGGCAACGGTTTAGATGTAGATATATTGCTTTTAACTTGCACTCATAAATGCATAGTCCATTCTCAATATGAACCGTCACTATGAATGTGATGAGCCTCCTATTCTATCCCCGATTGCCTATGCAAGTACGTTACATTTTAAACTTGCTTTTCACCATGAAAAAATTATTATCTTGAATATCGGCAACAGCAACCATAATAACTTTTTCATTGTGTTTTTAGCACTTTTGCCTTTTCTTGTAGTTCAAAGTTAATTAAAAGTAACAACTTGATTACAAAATTAGAATATGTTTATTATACAATCATTCAGTTTTTTAAAAGATCAAGTTTCACTTCAAATATTACATTTATTAACATGCTGATAACCACCTATTGTTTTAATTTTTTTTTTTGGTCTTAAAAATATCATTAACTATTTTAACATTGGTTTTATATTATTTAAAACCACAAAACGCAATAAAAAATGATATTAAGTAAAAATATAATATTACATGAAATTTAATATTTTTGAATTAAATTTTGGGCAGATTACACAAAAAATATACTTAAATATGATTTCTTCAATAATTTGTGCAGAACTTTTTTATATTAAAAAAATATAAATTTGTAGTTTTTATTTTAATTTTTTCACTCATTACCCAATTTTAACATATTTGTTAAAATTGGGCGATTACTTGTACTTGTTTCAAGGAAGTGCCGCACTCCATTGTTGCACAGTTAAGTTTAAAAGTTCGGTGTAAAAAGATTTAGACTTTTTTATTTTATGCGAAAAACCATTGCATAATGACTTAAAACAACTTTTTTATTACTAATGTGACATTAACAACAACTAGATGGAAAAGAATTTTATTAACAGAAACATAATACAACACTGTTATAAAACCAAAGGCAGCATGATTTTTTTGATGTCAAAGACTGTTTGCACAAAATTTGAGGCTGCCTGAAATTTGCCAACTTTCCATAGTTAAGAGAAACTATAAAAAAAACCAAATGACTAATAAAAAAAGATAGAAATATTTAACTATGATGTTTATTTCACCTAAATAACGTACTTATTTTAAATTTCTCATCTTGATAAGCAATACTAATTTTATAGAGATTTAAATTAAAAAATAAACAAATCTTTGGTTTTTTCTGTTGTTTTTTTTTGTTGCCAGAAATGTTTTTATTTTATGTTATGTCACATTTTGCATAAATGTAACACTTGCTGATAACTATTTATTGTATTAAAACAAAACCTAAATAAATAATTTATAAATCGTTCTCTTTCAAAAATAATTCCTTCAGAAATTTATATTATTTAAATTTAATTTGTATCATAATTCAATGACCAGACCAATGGAATTATGTCTTGGTCATCAAATTGTCTTACAAAGCAATAATATTTTAAAGTCCCTTTAACTACACCTAACATTTATACATTACATAAACCAATATTTTTGCAATAAAGATCATAGTTTTAAAATTACTTCAAAAAAATAAGTGGCTTTTAAAAGTGTCATGTAATGCATCGTAAAAAATGTTAGACAATATTGTAGCATTATGAGTGTAACCAATTGAAACATAATGTAATGTAAAAAATAGCAAAGAGCTTAAATATCATAAAAAATTATGCCATATTGTTGCAAATTGGAACTTTTTTTTTTGTTTAAGAATAACATTAAAAAACAGCAAAAAGACAACAACAGTAAAGAACTGAATAGAGCTTAAGTAGTTTTTAAAAAACTAGTTTTAACAAAATTTTATATTTTTATTTAAAATTTTTAAAAAATAAAATATACCTTTTAATACACAATAATTTTATAGTTGCATTAAAATAAAATTAACATGATAAATATCAGTATATTTTATTTAATGATAAACAAACATTTATTTTATTAAAGGGATCCCTAAGTGCTCCTAACATATGATCTCATATGAAAAAGCATAAAAAAAAAATATGTAAGTTTTTTTTCTTTTTCACTAAATTGTAATAATAAATGCATGCTAACAAAAAGCAATTGCCGAAATCACTGAAAAACAACTCCATTTTGATTTTATTTTTTCACCATTGAAACTCGATTGTTAGTCGTTAAAAATCACGTTAGTACGTCACAACAACTTTAAAATATCTACTTCGATTTTCAAGTAAAAAAAAGTTGTGATTAAATAGTTAAGTTTTAATCAAGTTTTTTTAATTAGTTTTGCAAAAACAGTATAATATCATTCGGTTGAAAGACGTCGTTAAAAAAAAGTTATTAAGTAATAGTTTTTAATAGTTTAGAACTTATAAAAAAGTCTTACAGGGCTCGTATTAAGCGTATCGCGATCGCGATTGCTTTTCACACTTTTGTGATTAGTTTTTTCTTAAAAAAAATCTTTTCGCAATTTTTTTTTTTTTTTTTGGTTGTTTAATTAATTTTTTTCTAGCTTAGCATTTTTTTTAGCAATCCTTAAAAGTAATGTTTTTATCATAAAGAACGTCACACAAAATTTATTATTCTAAATAGATAGATTTGCTCTTTCGCGCGGAGATTTTCTTTCAACGTTAAACATTTTTGAATTTAAATTACTTTAAATCTCTGCTTGGAAAATTTTTACAAGGTCGTTTAAGCGAAAAGTTGAAAAGTTCGTTTTTATCTTTGTTTATCAAAACTTCATGATTAAAATAAGGCTTAAAAACGTTAGAGCAAAAAAAATACTGACTTTTATTTGCATTTTTATACTGTTTGAAAAAAAAAACTAATAAAAAAGAATTAATTGTTATTATTATTAATTCTAATAATTATTAATTAATATATTATTAGTTAATTCTTTTTTATTATTATTTTTTTTCAAACAGTATAAAAATGCTAATAAAAACCAGCAATTTTTTTTACTTTAGCCTTATTTTAAACGTGAAGTATATTTCGATTTATTTAACCAAATTTTTTTGTTTCATCTTTTATTGGAAAACTTGAAATAGAAAAATTGAAAAAAACATCAACCATTTAAATGAAAAACTTAATTATATTTAAACTTTTATTAGTCCTTTATTCAAGAAACAATAAATTATAAAAAACGTGGAATATAATTTTTCATTAAGTTTTTGACGATGTTTTTTGATTTATTGACGATAATTCCCCCCCCCATTCACGCACATCGGCGCGACCTATAAGAGAGAGAGAGAGGGGGGGGGGGAGGAGAGAGAGCAAAAAAAAAATTTTTTATCGCGATTAGATTTTTTTTTGCGTAAATTCGAGCCCTGTCTTAGTTTAATTTCTAATAAAATGTCTATTCAACCTTATTAATTTGAACCAAAAAAAATTAGCAAAATTAACATAAATGTTAATTTAAGTAAAACATTTTACAATAATTATTTTTTTTATCAAGCAAAAATGAGAGTACTTTTGAAACCATAAAAATCGTCACTTTTGAAACCATAAAAATGACTGAAATAAATTTATTTTTGTACTAAGGAAATATTTTAAATAAACTTTTATGTGTCTAAATCAATATTCATTTGTTAAAAACTGACTAAAAAGAGTTTAAAATTTGACTTCTATTCATTTTTGGCCGTGGAATTGCCCTTATAACACAAATATATAAATTAAAATTATAAAAAAAATTTTAATATACAAATATATTTTCACAAAATGCTACAAAACTTATTCTTGTAAGTAATTGTGTTAGTTGAAAAAAAAACGACTTTACTTTTAAATTTAATTACCAACTAATAAGTTTGCAATAATGACATTTTGTCTACTTTGTTTATTTTGACGTACAAACGTTAGTTTTTTGAGGCAGTAGAGTCAATAAACTTTGGACAAGACGCAATTTTTTTTTAATCGAAGAAAAGCGTTTTTTTGAAAATTAAATTTGTTAGTGTGTGTTCATTATTACGTTTTAGAAAAAATAATATACATCAAACATTTTTTTTTTTAATGCTCTTTCATATGAGATCATATCTTTATAGCACTTAGGGATCCCTTTAAGTTTATTTAATTATAAATAAAATATGATAACTTTGCTACCAATTTATGAGGGAGCCTCATGTAAAATGTTTTAAGAGCTAACATAACTCTGAAAAGAGCTACAAAATATTTTCGTGATTTTATAATAATGATAATATAAGTAATTTATAACAAATGTTTAAGCATTTGTAAGCATGGTAACTAACTGTTTTTTTATTTGTTCTTTATTTAAACTATTTTTGATAATAGGCTGACATTTAGGGTTAAAATTAAAACTAACACAATTAAAAAATAAATTTGTTTACTGTTAACATTACAAAACAGTTATAACTGTTAATTATTTTCCTAAGTACTGTGCTAATTGTTATTTTGAGCCACTATGTTGTATTTGCCTTATTAAAAATATTAATTTTTGTTACGCTAATAATGTTATTTTAATAATTTATATTTTTGTTTTAGATTTTTACTTTATTTTTTTTAGAAATAATGTAACACATAATGAGGGTGTAATACTCTATTTATGATATCTCACATTATAAATCTTGGTTATTTAAAAAAAAAAATTTATCAACATAAAAAATAAATAAAACTTCAAGGAAAATTTTAAAATCTTCTGAATTTAAATTTTAAAACAAAGTTGTTTTAAAATTTAAAATGTTTTGCCTAATTCATTGACTTGTTACTGAGAAGTTTTTATTTGTTATTGAAAGTTATTTAATAAACTAAGCGTTGTAAAAACCTACTTGCATGGAGAAATGTACAATCTATTGGTAAAAAAATATATACAAAATCCATTAAAAAAAACACACTGACTGATTACAAAAGAAAAAAAAATTAGATTTAAGATCTAACTTTATAGGATCATGTTATCTTTATCATTGCCAGATAAGTAAAGATAATGAAAAAGATATAAAATTATAAAACATTTTCTGAACATAAACTTTTTTATGAAAGGTAACAAATTTTAATCATAAAAAACTAACTTACAAGAAGTGTTACATGTTTGATAATTTAAAAATTGATCTTCATTAAGCAGATAAACTTTTTCAAAAAGATCAATTGCATTGGGAGCTTGATCTAACTGAAGAGTATTTAGCTCCGCTTTGGGACATATTAAATTAATTCGATCATCTATACGTACTTTGAGAGTTAAATTTTCACAAGAGAACCTAAAAAAAAGAAGGTTTAAATATTATATTTCCATTCTGTAAATAACCAAATAAGTAGTAAATATACAGGCAATATAGTGGGCTGTAAAAATCATTCATATTACAGTAATGCTACACAACATAACTATAAATCATGATGATGATGATGATGATGATGATGATGATGATGATGATGATGATGATGATGATGATGATAATGATGATGATGATGATGATGATGATGATGATGATGATGATGATGATGATGATGATGATGATGATGATGATGATGATGATGATGATGATGATGATAGAACACCATTTGCTAAATTAAGCATTATATTTACTTTTATACCAAATTTAGAGGATGTCTTTGTAACAGTTAAAAAATTTTTAACTGTTACAAAGCAAACCAACTCGTGAATTCATACTTAATGACAAGTGGAAAAAAAAGTATAATTTATGGCAAGGTGGGGGGGGGGGGGGGGAATTACCTCAAATTTATCAGATTTATCAGAATTTTTGCTGAAAAGATAAAAAAATAAAAATAGTAACTTTGCTATTTTTGTTGCAGTAAATTAAGTAAAATTTCATGATCTGGTAAATTTGAGTTAATAGCCTTGAACAGTTGTTGCATCAAATGCTAGAGTGATGTGTTTTGATTTAATAACTGTCTCTACAACTTGAAAGTTTAAAACTTTGATCAAAAATTTGAAAGTTCTTTTATAAGACTCTCACAACTATGATGTTTTAAATATTATTTGTATAAAACAGATGTTAATTCAGGTAATTCAAATACAAGATAAAAATACTAATTATTATAAACTGAAATTAAAAAAAACAGAATTGAGGTAAATAAAAACTTGTTACTACTTTAATCAAATTCAAAAGTATATACAAATAAAAAAACTTAAAAGACAAGCATTTCTTGGTGATACTCGTGACAAGAACACAAAATTAATTTTAAAATAAGCCTCACCCGCCTAAAAGATTAACGCCATCTGAGAAAAATTTGATTAAAAAAAACTGAATGAGGTAACAGCAAAATAACTAAAAAGTGTTGAACAAAATGATTATTAAAATTTGAAATTTTATAAATGGAGAGAATATTAAAACTTTCACGTTATTTGACTCCACATTACAAAAAGTAACCTTAATTACGAAGCAATAAAATCATCATCAAATTCATGCCTGTTACATGGCCACATACTAGTAAATTTAAAACCATTCAAAGAATATCTACGCAAACTGATTTTGAGCAATAGGTCTGACAAAGTAGTAATACAATTCCAAATAGTTCTGACACAGTTTGTTTAATTTTGTTTTCAGGATTTGTTTTTAACCAAGAAGATGAAGCTTTATTTTTTTAATTATTTTTAATTTTTATAATTTGGTTTTAAGAGATTTGAAAAAAAAGATCTTTTAAAGGTTGTATGAGCATTTGGGTATTTGATGAGCAAAAAAGGATAACATAACAGAGATAGAGGTAGGTTTAGAGACTAAAGTCTTGGTCTTAAGACATTTCGAAACTCAAATTTAACTGTCTTGGTCTCGGTTTTGGTCTTGAAGATTGGAGTCTTGGTCTTAAAAACCTAAGACAATGAGATAAAGATAAACTGAAAAAATTGAGTTTTATCTGTGTAAAGTTTATCAGTCACTGAGAACCCCATGCTTTACAATAAAACCTATCAGTTATTACCGTTAACAAATCAGTTGTAGAATGAGAAGATCAAAACCATATCAATGATCAGAGTTATTTAATTCAAAATGAGATATTAAATGTTTGTTTATTAAAGACTCAAAAACCTTGCTTATGATAGGAAGAAGACTAATGGGCAGTAGTTAGACAAGTCAGATCGTTTTTCAGAACTTTTGAAAATAGTGATAACAAATGCAGTTTTCCAGCAAGCTGGATAACAAGACTCTGATAAGCACTTGCAATTCACACAAACAATGCAGCTTTGTCTTTAGGTGAGGCAACAAAATCTGATCATGCAAAAAAGGAAGAGTAACAGATTTTCCCTTATTACAGACACTGTTAAAGATTCTCCAGAAGTCTATGGAGCTTAATTTTTGAGATAAAATACAGATTTTGTGACCTGAGAATAGCAGCTTTGGCATTAGATGAAACCTTTATACAGTAGTTATGTGCAATAGTAAACAGATGTCTGTTTTCTAGAGAAATGTTTTGGCGATAGATATGGAAGTAATGGTTATGACTGGAAATTGCAGCAGCACAATGAGAGAAAAATCATGAGAGAGGCTTAACTTGGAATTGTCAAGAGGGAATAAAAAATTCCATGCTAACCTGGATCCAAAGAGTTACATAAGAAGTACATTTGTCTGCAGGAAGACAAAAGATTTCTACCCAAGGGCCATCACAAAGAAATTAATGGAAAGAGTCTCGGTCAGCTTTAAGGTAGTTATAAGAGGTAGGATTATAGGGGGATTCTGATGATGAATAAGGATGAGATAATAGTTTTAGAGAAATAAAACCGTGATCAAAAGCATCTAAGGTTGAAGGGTGTGGAAAAACTAAGCACTGATTAGGATCAGAAATAAGACATAAGTTGACTAGAGAAAGTAAATAATTTGGATTGTCTGGAAAGCAAGTTAAAAAGTTGACTATTTGTGTTAGACTAAAACTAATTTTAGACCCTCAGATAATAGAAAAGTGCCTGGTCATAAAAAACAGAAACACAAGCAAAACCTATTCAATGAGTCAAAAAGATCAAGAATTCAACATCCTGGAAACAATACATTATAAATACATTTACGCCAGCCTAATAGACGAAGAAGGGGTGCAAAGCTGGTTAACAGATAAAATCTGTTTACCCCTTAAAATCTGTCTAGGAGGCCTTCTACAAGACAGTAGCCGAATGCATTTAATGTCTTGCCAAGATGAATATTTTTATTGGGACACCAACTCTAGCCTTTTCTCAACCAAAAGCCCCAAGACAAGAGGTGTGTTAAGTCAGAATTGGAATCTTCTTGCATTTGCCTAAAACCGTATCCTAAAAGGCAACAGGAGATAAATCAGGTTGTAATGGCAGAATAACTTGACTTGACATGAACCTTTGTTAGATTGTCAAAACATGTTGCAAAATCAAGTTTCACTTTAAGTACATGAAGCACTAAAATAGAAAATGTGAATTTTTATTTTTAATTATTTTCTCACTACTGGTAGGGCCGTCAAAAGTAGAGATTATGTGTGAGGGGGAAAAGGTTTATTTTAACTTTTGTAGACGGTCAACTATTTAAAAAAAAAAAGTTCTCTAGTTCTTCAACATGCTGACTTGAGATAAATATCCCATAATTATCACATTGACTTGTGATAAAAGTCCCATTTTGCCAACAGAATCTAAAAAAAAAATTCCGATTTGCCGACTGATAGTACATAAAGGATTCCAATTCGTTGACTAATGTTATAAAAGTTAATTGATTAAGGGTGTCACACGTTGTGCTGGCCTAGCTACTGGCCTAGCATACCTGCTATTTATGTGATATTTCTAATTTTTTAGTGTGATGGTCTTAAACTTTTTTTTTTGGTACAATTTATTTTTACCAATACAACTTAGTTTTTCGTTATTATTAAAGATATCTTTTGTAGACTGCAACAGTGGACTACACAATATTTGATGACATAATTATATTATACATGTGTTATAATGTTTTATAATAGAGTAATGTGTATAAATGGTAAAATAATTCATCAACTAAAGGCCTAAAAGTATATAAACATGTGTGAGCATTATTGTGTTAGACATGAAATACCAGTAATTTTTCTTAGATTGGTTGCAGTAATCCCTAAAAAATATGATTCTAAATTGAGAAACCCTTCTCCATATTTAAGGTCATATCTATAGGCCTTCCAAACTTAACATTCTTTTTCAAAGCGAGAACATTACAGAATAGGTAATTTAGGAATCTAATAGGGGTACGATCTAAGATACAACACAAGTTAACATTTAAAAAAAAACCAAACATTAAATAAATTCAATATAATCTTGTTTTAACCAAACAATTATATATTCTCCTGAATTTATATTTCATAAGTAACACAACTTTATCAATAATTAACTTGCAATATTAGCTTCCAAACATATGTAGAAAATTATTAAAAAAATTGAATTAAACTTGCTTGGTGAGAGGTTTTATAACAAACCACTTTTATAGCAGAACATGTGACTTAACACATGTAACACTTAACACATAACATGTCACATACGGTTGACTCAGATATTTATTAAATTTTTGTTGTACACATGGTTGTTTGCGCAATTCATTCAGAACTCAAGTGTTATAACTTAAGCACTGACTTAAGAAACAACTTACAGAGCTTTAACAACTTTACTGTGTGTGTGTGTGTGTGTGTGTGTGTGTGTGTGTGTGTGTGTGTGTGTGTGTGTGTGTGTGTGTGTATATATATATATATATATATATATATATATATATATATATATATATATATATATATATATATATATATATATATATATATATATATATATATATATATATATAGATATATATATATATAGAAAGAGAGAGATGCACTTTTTAGTGCTTGTCATAATAGTTCTTGAAACAGTTAACTGAGGAGAGGTTGACAATTTTTATTGGTAGCTGATTCCAAATAGGCACAATTCTATTTGATAAGAAATGTTCTCTTTGAGCACAGTTCTTTGTTACTTGCTTGGAAATACAATGAGGGTAACCCCTTACTCCACTCGCTGGTCCTTCTAAACCGATTGAGCTTGCAATTGTATTTGGGTAATATTGTTTGATGTTGAAATTGTTTATCATTTTAAAATATTGAATTGCATCACCTCTATTACGCCTTTCTTCTAGTGTCTCTCTTGGTATTTCATATTCTTTAGTTCAGGAACCAGCTTTGTAGCTCGTCTTTGGTTCTTTTCAATTAGTTTGATGTCTGATTGGTGGTAAGGATTTCAAACTGAAGATGCATATTCTAGATGAGGACAGACAAAGGAACAATAAAGTATTAAAATTGTTTCTAT